CGTAATGCGCGAACATACATAGAAAAAAAAAAAAACAAAAAATATATATATACTGATCGAATTGAGTAACCTCCTCCTTTTTCGAAGTCGGTTAAAAATTAATAATATTAAATGAGCTGTAACACATATTTTAACCTCTACCAATTTAAAAAGGGTTTTCTGGTTAGAAACGTACGTTTCACGCGATTCTTGGTAAGCCTTCCTTCCAACAAATAGATACAATTTGTCATCAAAACATCACGAAATGAAAAAGATGTACTAAAATTTCAGAAATAAGTTTCCTTTGAAATTCGCATACTTCCTACCGCTATCCTACTGAATGAATGATTTCTATGAAATTAGAAATTAAAATTGATTTACAATATGCACAAGCATATCAAAGTTCTCGTTAAAGTTTCGCAGATTAAATCTGACTAATAGTTATTAAAATAGCAATGGGTTAATGAAAAGTTTTGTGTATTTTACCCAAATGTTTGCCACTAGAATTTCTTACACAGATATAGTGGTGTGTCCGAATATTAATGACACTAACTCTAATTCGGGACATAGTTGTCCTATTGTAAGAAATACCGTCATGTTTGGTCTCATTTTAAGCAGGAAAATATCACAAGTATGTTGGTAAATGTTTCATAACACAAATGAAAAATAAAGAAGTTTTAACCTTGCATTAGATTTGTTTCACTCTTACTGTACGTTTACATTCGATTCGAACGTTTTCTTCGTTTTTTGTCCTTTTCAACGTTTGACTAACTTCGATCAATGTAGAAACTACATGTTACAAATTTTTGCTCAAAATGCAGACTGTCACGATCCCCTTATTAAAAGCCATCCAGAAAGAAAAAATTCAGACTCTGTAGAAACAATGCTCCTATTCATTTAGGCAATGCACTGTCGAGTAGCTTGCTATTTCCAAAAACTGACAATCGACATAAAAGCAATCCGACAGCTACGTGACTTCAAGTCACCAGCCATCGTTTGTTGCCCATATTGCTCACTCATAGACATCCTCTTGTACGGATCTCATGCAGTTCATCCCTATTATAAATCGTTGGAAAACAAATTAGCAACAAATTAATTGATATGGTTGATCTTCAAAAATATGCTAACGCCAATATACATGCATGATATAAGAGACAATTCAGACCCGAATGATTCGCTTATATGAAGGGTTTACTGTATACGAATTTGATGCATTGATGACGTTGAATTCTCATTACAGTTATATTGATTGCGTGTGAGAGAGAGAGAGAGAGAAGAGCGAGTGAGATAGGTGTTCCGAGTTGCTCGGAATATTATTAACGTAATATTTATGGGTATTTTGTCAAGCCCAAAAACGTTTCACCTTTGCAATTTTAAACTGATATTTAGGACCATATGAACGTCTCCACAACTTGACGTTCTTAACAATTGACTATAGCCTTCTAACAGGCCAGAAAAGCACGTTTTCCTAACACCAATATACCTTTTCTTAAAGAAGTTTATTTCCATGGTCCTAAACTGTGTACCCCACTAAAGTGGGCCTACGCGCTTGAACTCCGATGATAAACACATGGTGCTCATTTATTACTTCCTTTGAAGGACCCAAATCACTTAACTGTTTGGGTCACCTTATTAACGACACCTTATTTACAACCCTGGAGTGAAGGCTAAAAATCTTAGAATCCCATTCACTGAACCATCTCACCAATCAGTATTTTTCACAAATAACAATCTGTCCTGATTGGCCCTTTTTGGTAACGCCTTCACGTCCTGAACTTTCTTCATGGCTTTTCTTTTCTGGCTTTTTAGAGGCAACTAGTCAGTCTTAAAACGACCGTTGTTGAAATATACTCAGTCTTACGAATCAGAGTAACTATCAACTACAGCAACACACAACAATCATTACAACTAGTGGGATGATGATCTACATCCTTCATTGACCTGGGCACACCAGTGTGGAGGACTCTGAACCACTCTATAAATTCTACTCTACAATAATAATTTTACATATAATTCCACTACCGTAACAAGTTGTGGAAACGCCATGGGTCGACGAAGATTTACAACCTTCGAAAACAGCTATAAATAGTTTATATTTTATTTTATTTTGCTTTATTCTCAATATCTTTGCATTTATCAGAGATATGTTTGAGCCCGGATCATATAGTGCTGTAACATCTAATATATTATTCAAGTTTATTTTAAACGCAATTAATGGTAGGATTATAAGTTTTTTGGATCTTCATTGTTCAGTTCTACTTCTAAAATTGAGTTATTGTTTATTTTCCATGGTTGGTCTTTTTTTTCTTCCTTATCCTTGAACCAGCAGTTTCCTTCAGGATGAAAACGTTTTCCTTTTCCAGCATTTTCACAAATTTTGCACGCTCTCTTTTCTTCTATTTGTTTGGATCTGGTTTCAAAGTTGCTATTTCTTTTTTTTATTTGGTATCTTACCAGATGTTCTAATTTGCTTATCTCGTTGTATAGGTCCTTAGTTTCTTCTATTTGTTCTCTGTCTATTTTATCCGTTATATTATTTGGGAGACCAATGGCTATTAGATCTATTAGTGTATTTGTATCTATGCTTTTTCTTACTTGTAGTAATAACTTTTCTTTTTTTACAGCATATTCTAATAAAGAGCCCGTTTGATATTTAAAAGTGTGTGCATACCTGATTGAAGACCAACCTTTATTACCAAAAGTTTTGTTCCGAGTTGCTCGGAATATAATTAAAGTAATATTTATGGGTATTTTCTCAAGCCCAAAAACGTTTCACCTTTGTAATTTTTAAACTGATATTTAAGACCATATGAACGTTTCCACAACTTGACGTTCTTAACAATTGACAATAGCCTTCTAACAGGCCAGAAAAGCACGTTTTCCTAACACCAATATACCTTTTCTTAAAGAAGTTTATTTCCATGGTCCTAAACTGTGTACCCCACTAAAGTGGGCCTACGCGCTTGAACTCCGATGATAAACACATGGTGCTCATTTATTACTTCCTTTGAAGGACCCAAATCACTTAACTGTTTGGGTCACCTTATTAACGACACCTTATTTACAACCCTGGAGTGAAGGCTAAAAATCTTAGAATCCCATTCACTGAACCATCTCACCAATCAGTATTTTTCACAAATAACAATCTGTCCTGATTGGCCCTTTTTGGTAACGCCTTCACGTTCTGAACTTTCTTCATGGCTTTTCTTTTCTGGCTTTTTAGAGGCAACTAGTCAGTCTTAAAACGACCGTTGTTGAAATATACTCAGTCTTACGAATCAGAGTAACTATCAACTACAGCAACACACAACAATCATTACAACTAGTGGGATGATGATCTACATCCTTCATTGACCTGGGCACACCAGTGTGGAGGACTCTGAACCACTCTATAAATTCTACTCTACAATAATAATTTTACATATAATTCCACTACCGTAACAAGTTGTGGAAACGCCATGGGTCGACGAAGATTTACAACCTTCGAAAACAGCTATAAATAGTTTATATTTTGCCCATCGCGCGAACAATAGGAAATGTTCGAATTTAAAAGGACGGATGGATAATTAGACTGTTTGGAACGGAACGAATGACGAGGGAAGAATGAGGGGAAATGAGCGAGAGTGCGAGGGAAGAGCTGGGACCGTCGACGATAGACGCGCGACAGTGAGCAGAAGTATAGCGAGAACGGCTAAGCGAGTTGCAAGCGAAGAATAAAGCAACCATTAAGATAATAATATTAAGATTAATAAATTATTAAAGTGCAATATCGATTTGCAATATAGTTCTTAGAATATTATTTTACGCAATATATTGTCAATACAGGGTATTCCATTTAAGTTGACATTGTAAAAAATCTTTAAGACGTGGAATTTAAGAAAAACAAACTGACATGTGCCTTTTAGTATTTCCAGTAGAGAATTGAATGATTACTAATTTTTTAATTAGTCTTCATGACGTTTTCAACGTTATGCATTCAAGGTCATTTCAAAGCCATTTCAAGGTCATCGTGTCTTTTTTTACGTGAAAAAATGCACGACTTTTGTTTGATACATTTTGTTCAATATAGATCGAACGATTGAGTTCAATATTGAACTTATTACAAAATTTCTTAAAATATCTAATTGATTTTTCATGTTTATGTCAAAAATATTTTTTCTATTAAAATAATAGTGTTACTTTCTTCTGGAAGGGTTTTCGTTTTATTTAAAAAAATTACAATAAATGCACGAAATTTTTACCCTTAACTTGTAGACACATATTAATTCGTTTAGTAAAAGGCTAATGAACAGATAATAACATTTTTTTCGTGATACTCCGACTCACAGTTGTAATTCACTCTTTCATGTTTTCTGGTCTAATAGGTGGATCGGAGTATATCTTTTTGTTAAGATAATTCCATACGAAATAATCGGATGATGTTAGATCAGGTTATCTCGATGGCCAGGAAACTGGCCCATCTCGATCTGTCCAACGATCAGTAAAATCCTGATGTATTATTTGCCATGCAATACGTGAATAATGAGCTGGGCTACCGTCGTGTTGAAACCACATGTTTTACCTGTCTGCTAGGCTTAGATCTTCAAATAATACAGGTAATTCGCGATCCAAGAAATTTCGATATTTGTTTCTATCTAACATGCCATCAATAATTCTTTAGGTACTAATAATACTTGAAGATGTAAGCCTATCAGATATTGAACTTAGAACAAAATATATGAAATAAAAGTTACACATTTTTTCACGCAGAATATGATTCCGAAATAAAAAATATGGGTTTATGATAAAAAAAACAAGCCGACCTTGAAATAATCTTGGAAACACCCATGCATTAAAGAATCAATATTGTCATTTGACTCTACCTACTTGAAATACTAAAGGATTTGTGCCAGTTTGTTTTTCTTAAATTATACGTCTTCAAGATTTTTGACAATGTTAACTTAAATGGGACACTCTGTATAATGCAATGAAGCATTAATAAAATTCTGTTCGCAAAAAAGAGAAAGTGTATAGTTTATTACCTTCGCTTGTCCAACGCACAGAGTTTTGGGTGGCTGATTGGCCCGCACCACAAATTCAGGACCAATGCATTGCGCTTTGTTGAAAGACCTCATGGGCCCACCCACTGTTCTGTATAGGCGGGACGGCGCTCTTTGTACTGCCTTACCACGTCGAGCCCTTGGACCATTCTTCACCAAATTCCTGAAAGCATTGTTAGAAAACGTGTATTGTAAGTGCATATAACTGCAAACCTATACCGATTTCCGAAACAGAGCATATGCTTTTAATGATTTATATTTGTTCTCATTTAACTCGTCGGGGTTAAGTCGATTAAAAGTGTCCCACCTTTTAATAAGCTCTTTATGCATTCTGGGATATATTTTAACCCTCCTCAAAAAGTTGTGGATGAAATGAATCTTCCATTTTTTATTTATTCTTATATTAAAAAGTATTCTGTGCAAGTCGCATTTTTATTTTTTTCAAAATTGTATTCCTCAAAGAGTTAAGACCTTGTATCTATTTTCAACTACGACATTCTAATTAACAAATGTGATCGATGTGAATAGTGGTATAACGTTGATTGCTCTAATGATTATTCTTCGTTTCATTGTATACTATAATTGTTACTTTACATTAAGTATCAGATTTTAAATGGCTTCCACGTATTAAAATGCACCTATTGCTATTTTAATGCCGAAAATAAACTAATGGACTAATGAAACGTATTTAAAATGATTGGACTTAGAAATTAGAAGAAGTTGAAAATGGGAGAATTTAGTAATTTTGGAGAAATTGAAAATATCTATTTCGGGAATTTAGAGAAAGGAAGAAGGTGAAAAGTTGGGAATGAAGGTAATATCGAAATTCGGAAACTTGGAAATTTGAGGATTTCTAACCATAGAAATTTGTGAATTTGAGGATTTAGTGATTTGGGTACTGGGGAATTTAGAAACACTGGAATTTAGGAATTTCGAAATTTGGGAATTTAGGAATTTGGGGAATATAGGAATTTGGAACTATCCAATCAGCTTTTAAATTTCCAACTTCGTGAAGTAGTAAATATATGTGGGATTAGTAATTATGTGTTTGGGCATGAGAGAGAGTGAGACAGAGAGTATGAGAGAGTGTGAGAGAGAATGAGAAAGAAAGTATGAGAGAGAGAGTGAGAGAGAATTAGAAAGAAAGCGTGAGAGAGAGTGAAAGAGAGAATAGAGGTCACGTGGTAATCTACAATATTAGAATTATGTGCGAATGTCCGGAGAGAGTCGAGTCTTGCTTGAGCCGGCGAAGGAAAACCCGTGTGTGACGAATAGATTGCGACGAAATAGGAAATAGTACCGCTCCGTATCAAAAATTCGGCTTACGACTCATCATACGATCCCACATATATTATATATATACCAATAATATTTGATTGAAATCGACAAAAATTGGGGTGTTTCAAGTGAATTCTCGCAGTACTCAATTACAGCCAATTGTATGGGACTATCTGAGGTTATATCTCGGCTCACTCAATAAGCTCGCCCAACTATTTTTAACCTAGTAGCTTAACTGACGTATTTCATTTACTCCCACATCTCTACTAATTCCAGAAACAAAAATTTCGTAACATAATCTGCTCTTTGGTTGCGTGAAAAAATTTGAAATCAATTTAGAACTACATGTATAAATAATTAATAAAATAATTATAAAAATGATATTTTAATTTGACGACGAAATGGTATCTAGTCAGCGAGAATAGTACACAATGTTTGTCAAATACTACACTTGCTGTTAATAAATGAACGTTCATGAAATTAAAAAATGAAATGTAATACATGATAAACAAATTAAAAATAAAAAAATATAGATAATATGTGAGAAAATAGGAGTATTATGATTTTACATCAGCAATGAAATAGCGTAATCCCAATTATAAAGGAATGATCAGTTGTTTCAGCAGATTTATAATAATTATTAAACAAAAATGTATTATCATGGTGAGTTTACGCGAAGGTTCACGAGATCAAATCGTTTGTCGATACGTAGCTACCCAGGGCATATTCTCACCGCTTAACATTTTGCACGATGTTCCCACTATTTCCGGCAAATAAAATAAAAATCAAACTACTGACGTCCATTTCACACCGAATCACAGCAAATTTTAAAGCTTCCATTCTTCTGAAGATGAAAATTAAGTATGTCTTAAAAAACGTTTCTAAAAATGCAAAAATTATATTTGAAGATACAGTTTTTCTTTATAAATATAACTTCTTCGAAGTCCTAACCAACGATACATATTTCGCGTTTTTAGAATTCAGTTAGGGTAAGTTGCATATCAAATATCCTTTTAGACTAAAATACAATGAATATTATACTAGATATTTTATTCTTAACCGGCTTACTGTAAATACTTTTCTTGAACCCCCGGTACTTTTACTATTTTCTCCCTCAATCTGTTATATCTCAAGAGTATTATCTTTTTATATTAAAAACGAAAAGTTTTTAATTTTACTGTGAAAACTGTCATTCTTTCAATTTTTCACATTTTTAAATTTTGTTCATATTCAACAATTAAATTTACAGGAATCAGCTGTGACATATGTTAAAACAACTTTCAAAGTTTATTTATAATTTGTTTTAAGTTAAAATAATGAGTAACTTCCTTGTTAGAGTCGGTTTTAGTGGCTGGGGTCATATACGTCCCAGTGTGCCATGTTATTCCGATGAAATGCGACTGTTAAGGGTTACAACCAACCACCAATTAATTATACCCAGGAAAAATTGTTTATTTCCGTTGCTGAATTTTCAGTCATGGTACACTATGCTAGGATGAGATTAATTAATTGATGTGTTACTTTAAATTAATATTTTTCGGTGGTGGCAAATATGAAAGAAAATTTAGCAAATATAACATGAATAATGAGAGAATGTTGTTCTGTTTTGATTGGTTATAAACTTCTGAAGATGACGGTAAGAACATGGGGTGATTAAATGAACTGATTTATGACTTTATTGCATACTATATCGAAAATTGTTTGCATCGCCAGAACCCCGTTTAGGCCTCGCTTCGACTTCAGAATTTATTGCCAGTGGTCTTCTCTATTTCCTTCACTATGAAGGCAAGGCTGCAATAAATTGTTTGATCTGCACTATGATAAAGACTTCCATAAAATGGTGTTGCACATAAATATGCCTTTGAAAGTCTATAGTTTATACACAAAACTATGTTTTCCTTTTACTGTTTTAAATGCTTAATTACTTCCAGGGGAATACATACAATTTGTTTGTTGTTATGGGGAAAAGTGACCTTGCAACAAAAATACAAGTACTATATTTGTATGCCGATAAGACAGATTTTGTCATATTTTACTCATATTTAAAAATTTTCAACCTAGTCCTTAGCTGAAGAAAGTCTACGTTGCACTTGAATTTTTGCAAAATTTGTATGCATAGAAATTTGTTTAATGCAGTTATATCATACGAACTCAGACAGTAAATGCTAATATAATGTTAAAGAAACAGAGACGAACAGATTAATTAAACTTTCATTATATTTTCTAAATAAATGTCAAAAATAATTAAAAATGTTATGCTCTAAAAGCACAAATCGTTGAAAACAATCCGAAAGATCATAGCATACTTAAATCAAGCTTTTATTCCAATTTAAAAGGAATACCATCGCAGAAATACGAATCGAAAATCAATAAGCATCGATTTTAAAAGCTGAGGTGTTCTTTCGTATTGAGTCTTTGCTAGAGTCTTATACTCTTCTTAGAGGGGGTATCTGGCGAGTGTAGGGTGTAGGGTGCGACCTATATAGCTTGAAAGCATATATTAACGCGGACATATGACTTGGAGCAAACTTAATAATGCGGGCAGAGGGGGAATATCCAAAAGACTGTTCGACTGGCGAGTGCCGCTTTGCACTCTAATTTAACGTGTCTCCTTCACCTCGGGATTGATGAAATTCCAACGTGATGACGCAGGTAAGATCGGTGATAAATTTCTAGGTTGCCGGGTCATTTTGCGATTATAGAAATATCCTTGCTATTAGACCACTTTTTAATTCGAAGTTATAGAAAGGAGAGAGATTTTGAAACGTGGCGAGTTTATGTCGAACCTGAACGAATTATTGATATATCGGATACACTTTCTAACGGCATTCATAATTCTAAACCACTTCAAATTATGTTGAAAAAGAGAAACAGAAATGATTCAAAAAGTGTCTGTCAAGTTTTTTTTAATCAACTTTGAAGGGAAGAGTTTACTCAGTATGATGATTATATTTATTTACTTGATGCGTCTAATTAGCGATGACATCTTACAGATAGTGTCTCTCCGTAAATCCTGTTTACCACAATTTTTGAATTTTGAATTTTAATAACAGATGAACGAATGCAATTAAATTTTTTACATCTTGCGGATGTTGCTTCCATCATAGCCGCGTATACAAAAATCTTTATATTTATTCAATGTTAACTATTGATAGCGTAAACAACTTGTTATTTCGTACATGTCTAATAATTACTTTGCAACCGTTGAACTGAACCAGATGTATTTTTTTTACATGTTATGGAGGATGGTCCATGTTGCGCAAGCTTGTCGATTTGTATATTATAAACTGTTATTAGTATAAAAAACTATATGACTTTATTCCAAAAATTTAATAAAGTTATCCTACCATCAATTCACTCTAAATGTAAATAATATTTAATTATTTATTATAATACATTCATCTCATATTTTCTACAAAGTCCAATCAAATAATAAGTGAAAATGTCAATTACAAAACGTAATTTCTTATGGAAGAATAAATAAAAACCGGATTTTTCGATCTTCGGCTTACAATTAGTGTTAAAGAAAAAAATCAAATTTGAAAGTCACTGAGGTTCTGTGTTATAGAAATGTGATTTTTAGTTGAGAGACATCATCGAGTATTGTGGTTCACCACGCTTTAACTGAAATATAAAATTCTTAAACGTTAATTACAGGCATTCCTCGAGTAACACGGTATTTGAATTACACGAAGCCACGAATAGCGCATTTAATAAAATAATTTTAAGAAAAAAAATACGCCGACTTCGAAATGCACTAAAAA